ATGTAAAGATGCCAGTCTTTTTTTTTTCAGAAAACTGGCAGCAGGACTAAGTGATACAATTCTGAAAGAAAAAGATGCTATCATTAACTCTTCTATCKGCAGGAAACTTCAAAATTTGTCTTTCTTGAGTTTGCAACATGACACCTGGTGTAGCAAAATGCAGCGATTTTTTTCTCTAGTGAGGGAAAATGTATTTATTTTACTTTTTTTTAAATCTCAAAATTTTACCAGCCTGAAAACATCTGTTTATTGCCAGAAGTGCCAGAGTGTGGATCCCTTGATGTAGAACACCTTTTTTAAACTAGCATGAAGGTAGCATACAGTTTACATGACATCTGCAGAGATATAGTAGCCAAAAGATTTTTTGCAGCTCTTTATTCAGTGTTGTTCTGTCAGCTTACCTCATATTCGTGTTTGTTTAAAGGCGAACTTGTCAAGGGATAAGGGGGAGAGGGAAAATATATTTTTTAACACTTCAGGTTCTCTATCTGTAGAGTCTTGTTTTTTACGCAGTTAGTCACAGGATGGTTTGTCACGGAGCATGCATTAAAAAATACTGAGTAGAAATTCAGCTTCAGTGTATCTTGCTCCATATTTTTATGTAAAGACAAAAGATTTCTTCCCCCGCAAAACAGATCATGGAAATGGATCTCTCTAATACAGAGGTGAGCCTCTCTAGGTCCAGGGCTCCGAGATCTCTCAGTAAGGTGGGGATCAGTGTAGAGAAAGGACAGGGATCAAGAAATGCATGGCTTCTCCTTGTCTCAGAAGTCACACTTGGAAAGCACAATAGCCCTAAATAATCTGCWGCTTTGTTGCAGGCAGAGGCTCTCCCTCACAGAAAACCGATGGAGGCATGGGAAACAGACAGTGATGAAGCGAGGAGAAARGGAAAGAAAGATAGGATGGTAGCTCAGAGGTAAACACTTAGCAGGTCTGAGGCTGAGGGCTTTAGCTACATCTGCTCTCTGAATGGGCATGAGCTGTGTCTCCATGAAGAGCACTGTCAGCAGGCTTTGAGGGCTCCTGGCAGTTCTCAGTGTGTAGAGTATGGACAAAAGGGAGCTAATAATGCTCCGAACTATCATTTTTGATGATATGATTATATTCTTGGCTTTAAACTCTCTAATACTTTCTATAACAATGTGAAAATGCTCTTTTTGACATACTGAGCATTGTCAGTGTTACAATGCATTCAGGAGAATTTGTGAAGAAGTCAGGGTAGCAAGGATGCARTGTTGTTTGTCTGCTTACACTGATTCTGCTGTCGTTTATATTCTTGCTCGGCACTTTACTACAGCCTTTTGTGTAATTTCTGTATTTTTTTTAAGGAGTGCTTTTTACCTACCTACTGTACAGTTACTAATCTACTTTTTTGCTAAAAAGAAAATAATATATCCCTGATACTTGTTTAGAGGTATGACTGTGTTTCAAGCTTTAGTGGAAACCAGACAAGTTCYGCAGATTCCTCAGATGGGGCCGAGTCCCAGATGACAACAGAGTTAAATTTATTTTGTATATATGTAAACAGTCATATGAACCATAGCTCCCTACATGTATAACAAATTTCTTTTACTTGTAGGTTAGAACAAATCCAAAACATATCTGCACCACGAGTAGTCCACACATACTCTAAGATGTCAGTTGATGTACTGGTGATGAGTGCTCAAGGTCTTCACAGAGAAGTATTTTTGTTAAGAAAATGGAACACAGTGTTGGTGAGCTACTCCCACTGAGCAGTTAAGACACAGCTGCTGTTATGCACTTTATTCTTTAGCTGGAGAGAAAAAGCACTGTCCAGTTAAAGTTGCAGACTGAAAGTTCTTAAGTAGACTATGATGGAACAGGTAATGAATGAAACACAAAATCACACAGTGGCTAAGTTTGGAAGGCCCACCACTGAGGTTATCTGGTCCCTGCTCAAACAGGATCCTAGAGCACCTTGCACATTACACACAGAGGGTTCTTGACTATCTCTTGTGAGGGACACTCTAGAAAGTAAAGATGTTTGTTTTAGTGCATGGAATGCTGTAGCTGGCTTTCATCATTATTTGGACTGAGAGTTCTTCCCCTGATTCAGTTGACTGGTGTGTGGAGGGGTGGGGGGGGAAATATATTTCTACATAAATTTATTGTATAATTTTGCCACTTGTTATGCTCACATCAATAAATGCTTCATATTCAGCAGGTCATGTATGCAGTAGTCATTGACACACTAGCATCAGTTTTACTGATGCTGTACCTGAACAGCACAACATCTCTACTTCATTAACAATATAGCTGCTGTAAATGTCCCCCCTAGGAGTCTTAGACTTCTATAGGTACCTTTSCCTTATCCAGGGTGCACCTCACAAAGCACTGCCACTGAAAGAGGTTGAGAAGGAACCAMTTCCTTTATCATCTTTCATGGTGAAACACTGCATGCCTATATGGTGGCAGAGCAGACAGAGCTGCGCTCCTTTGAGTACTGTTGAAGGTCAAAAAGCTGGAATTTTGTCCCCACAAAAAGGCGGGGGGGGGGGGCATGTCTTAAACCCCCTGTACTTTATACAAGTGAGGAGGTACAAGAAAGATGGTAAAGTTACTAACCAGGACTGTCACTTACAGCAGTTCTGCTTCACAAGGGCTCCCAACTCCCTGCTATGCCAGATTCTTCAGAGCTGCCTGACTTTCTCCTCTTTCCTAAGTCTTCCCTAGGAAAGTGCTGGATCCACCTGCAGTGCAGAGAAAAGTGAGACTGTCTGTTCGGGGACCCCTAGAACTGCAGGAACAGTTATGTAAAGATAAAAGAAGCTTTTCCCTCTTCCAGTTCAGATATAACCTGCAGTATATGTGGTCCAAGCTCATCCTGTTTTTAAAACCCTTCTATAAATATTGGTATTGAACCATACATAAACATTCTCATCCAAAACAAGATTAAAAAAAAAGTGTGCTGCTATGCAGTAGGGGTGGGGGTGTCTCTGTTGCTACTTCACTTGAATTTATCACCTGCTTATCAGTGACCTGGTAGTAGGATGGGAAAAGTGGCAGCCTTCTGGGATGAAACTTCAAGCAAGTGACATCTGACATAACCTAAGGAAAGCCTTGCCCTATCCCCTCAGCATTTTTTCAGTTCCCTCTAAATTTTTCATCATCTTTTTTTCTTTCCCTTCCACAGAAGTCCAGATTAGAAGTGTTTAATGTGAAATGTACATTCAGTGCTTATGTTCTCTTTATTCTTCTCCCTCCCAAAGTTGATTCTAGATAATACCCTCGTTTCTCCAAGCTGTCACTCATCRCTGAAATACAGTAACTCAGTATTTAAGGCATTGATTACATCYTTCATCCTAGATCACTGTAATCTCAAGCAGATGGTCCCCATAGTTTGAGTGCAGCAGTTGGAAGAGTGTGCCATGAGCCATCTCCCCTTTCTCCCCCTCTGTATGCTCACAGTTTGACTGATTGGCATAACTGGAACAGACCCAACACTTCCTGACAGTCATCATTTCATGAAGTCACTTTCCTTTTTTTTCTTTTTCTGAAAATAGAACAATTCTCAGTTCACTTAAGAGCGAGCTCCTGTTATRAAGGCAAAAATAGACAACACACACAAACTGTGTTTCCAGTTATTTTCTCCATCACATCAAGACATTTAACTGCCCAGTCATTCAAATAGATATAATAGTAAAAATCAGTAGATTCTTATAAAACACTATCATAGATACCACAGCTACTCTCCAGAGCATGCAGAGGGACAAGAATGAAGGAAAACAGGGAGCTTGCCAGCTCAGCTATTTTATGATGAAAAGTAAAGATAAGGTATTGCCAATGCAACCCCAGCTCTGCTTTGCTGCCCTACAAAAGATAAAGCATATTTTCTGTAATGCAGCTTAAAATTTAATCTGTTGCCAATTTCTGACTGATACACAGAGAAGGGAAAAGGCTTGCTTCCCTCCTCCTTTCTCCAGCTCTCCCTCACATTATTCAACACAAGTTAATTGAAAAGAGCACAGAAAAGAGCACACTTGGGCAAGACRATTCTGCTTCAGCAGAGGCAGAAAAGAATATCTCATCTGTGCTGGCAGAAGAAGGACAATACCAGCCTCTGCAGAAATCAGATCTTCACAGCTGGCATCAATGGACATGTTTATTCCCAACCCAAGACTGCTAAAATAAAGCAGGAGAATCATCCTCAATTCACTACCTATGTGAGAGTAGTGCAAGAGGGAAATAAATAAACATCAAATAAACACCCTCATGCAAGAGAGAAATAACTACCAAAACAACCTCCCATGAACCAACCAAGGTACACAAAACATTAGATATACCAGAAAAGAAAACCTCATTATATGAAAAATACATAGAGATAACTGATTTTAGTCTATGTAAAAATCGGGATTTACCCTTTTTCAGATTTTGTTCAAACTCAACAATTTAAAGTTAGACAAATACTGACAATTCTACTGCAGGCTTTTGGCTTTCTTTGCCRTCACTGACACAGTGTTGTTAAATAAAACTCTTGAGAAATCTGTTTTATTTAAAATTTCACTTCCTAATTATTTTACAGGTTAATAAACTGAACCCCACTACCCAAAATCCATTGACATGTGAATATYAAACTTCCAGGGAAGCTCCAAAAACTGCTTCAGTACAGAACTGTTTCCTTTTAGTGCACATTRGTTTGAGTTATTACCTAATTCAAGGTTGAAAAAACAATTGGGAGTTTAAAACAGAACTTTTAAGTGTCCAGTTTGTTTTATACATTCCTAATCTGATCCTCCTCCACGAAGGATGTCTTCTTTGTCCCAGATTTTGCTAGGCATCTAAGGAAACTGGAATTCCTAAAGGCAAGTTCCAAGATGAAAAAGCAAAGAGGGCATTGAGGAGCTTGGCCTTTCCCATCTCTTTTACAAATCAGTCTCCTGTTCCCATTTAACAGTAGTGTCACATTGCCCCTGATGTCTTCAGAGGCATCAAAGATAGACTGTCTGAAGCGTGGATGAAGGGGTTTGTTTACGAGAAGCAATGTCACAGGTCCTACTTACACCTTTCTTTGTTTTGAGTTGATTCAGAAGCATCTTGTTCAGCAATGCAGGCTTTCCTGCTACTTTTCTTCGATTTTTTGAATAAGGGAATGAACCATTCTTGAGCTTAGAGTAACCAGTCAGATAAGGTAAGAGAAATTTCTTGGATGTCAGAAGTTATAGGTCATCCACAAATTCATACAGGAAAAAGTCTTAAATACTCTGAATATGTTCCAGACCTATTTTCCTCTACCTCAGGGATGCTTCTTGCCTAGTTTCAATGAGCAAACGAACTAAATGCTTAAAATAAAAACTATATATATTAAAAAAACAGTGACAGAGAACATAAGGTTCCTGGAACATTCATCTGACTCCAGAAGCCAAAAATACAAGTGGATTAAAATAGAAAGATCAGATATAACAGGTTTTGATATCGCATTTTTTCTGGCAAACCTATTCAACAACAGTGTATTTTAAATGGATCGAGGAAAGCAGAGGCCTAGAAAGAGAATTCATRTCTCTGAACAAAAAGGTGCATGTCTAGACAGCTGGAACTGTGCCTGCACATTAATATTTGCAAAAGCAATTAAAGCTGGCTACTTTGGAAACTGGTTCAGATTTCAGGCCCTGAAGTTTACAAGTAATGGTCTTACACATAAGAACAAATTACTTTTTTCATAATCTCTACAATTCACAATTTAAATCACTCCTTAATGGAAACTAAATCTAATTTTGCCAAGGAAATGAATGATGCACAGATGTCTCTCCAGCTGCAATYAACTCTCAACAAACAGATCACAGTGACCCCGGTGAACAAAGTTCTCTTGCAGAATAAAGCATTATCTGTTTCATGCTGATTGGTACCTTTTCAGAAAAGCTTTTCTTACAGGAAGAAAACTCAAGAGTAGAATTCTTTGAAGTCAAATACCGGTCTAGTGGAAGAAAYTGATCTAGTGGAAGATGTCCCTCTCCATGGCAGCGGGGCTGGAACTAGATTATCTTTAAGGTTCCTTCCAACTCAAAGCATTCTATGACAGGAGGCAAAGAAAAGCACAGCATATGGGATGCTCAGCAGTCATTTCCAAAGCACATCCCCATCGGCACTAAAACTTCTACTGTAGGCTCACATTCAGAAGGCTCGAAAAACTTCCTTTGATCCTTGATTAAAAAGTTACTTTAAAACAAAAATTCATTAAAGTCCTTCGAAGAGTCATTCTGTTCAAGCYAACCAGATAACTGTATCCATATGCTTTAGGCAAAGCTACTACTTTAAAGCAACTACTTTAAATCAAATTTCAAGGCTTCTTTGTTCCACGTGTATGCAAATTTTCCTGGAGACCACAATAAGAATTCATCCTGYTTTCACTGTCACTATCTTATTAAAGACAAAGACAATTGAAGTTGAAACAAGTCGCCATCATTAATGCATAATGGTATAAAATCACTAATGGGATTAGGATGCCTSAGAAGTAAATTGCAATCACCACTCTTGCAGCTCAGGACAGTAAGAATTTGGAAACACATGAACACAATTCTGCCCTGAATGTGGAATCAGTCAGGGAGCAGTGAGTTAGTTCACTTTATAAGCATGTGGAAGAGAACTGTCATGCCTAACAAAACAGAGCTGAACTGACTAAATAATCACATTCCAGGAAAAGTTTTGCAACAAAACCACCAGTCTCTTGTTATGTAAGAAAACATTTCTTAGGCCTTTATTTACAAAAGCTTTAAAAACAAATACCCTCTGTTATGCAAATTACTTGTTTAAAAAGGATCGCCCAGTTACATCATCATAATTCATTGAGAAAAAGGTGTTTGATTTTTTGCTTATAAGTACAAGATAAAACAGAGTAAGTGGTGAACATTTGGAGATTTTTCTGCCATTGATTTCCGTGTCAAACACACGTACGCGTGCACACGCACAGACACACAATGTCACACATTCCATCATTTCAGGCTAGTATTTAGCTATTCAATGCCAAAAATCCTTCCTGCACAACTGCTGTGTATACACRCTATGCAGAGTTAAGAACATACTTTAGGGTCCTTTAAAACAATATATCTAAAATATATTGTAAGATATACTCAAAAATAAACTAGCATTACACTCCTCAGGTAACTTTATTAGCTGCAAGTTATTTATATTTTGTTGTCTTACAACAAATATCTGTAACATCTGTCTTTGTAACAACTACAAAAAAGCATGATTTAATTGTCCTTCTAATTCAATAATTCAATTAAATAGCATTTTTTCAGGTCTTTGGGGTTTTTCTTTAACTGACTTAAAAAATTTATGAGAATCAAGTACATAATAAATATGACTTCATAAAAAATATCTGAGGTGTACATTACTACAATAAAAGCCACAAGGTTAATCAAGGGAAGTGTGCCATTACAAGACTCCAACTTTTCCAATATCCTTCAACTCTGAGCTTAATGGCAAAAAGGCTAAAGTCATAGCTGTTCTCTTCCTGAAGGGTGTAAAGCTGTTTTTTCAAGCCTCTTTCTTCCATCAAAGAGCGGTTTTAAAGCAGCAGGTCAACCAGCAGTTGACATGTACAGGATGTGTTGGAAGATGACTGAACACTAGTAAAGTAAGAGCAATTACTATGATTTCAGTAGTTTGTTTTGCTTGAACAAACAGAGATTATGCAGCAAATAAGTCACGTTYTGTGGGCTGAAATACCAAGGAAATACAGCTTGAAGCTGCTGAACTTGGCAGATGATTGTTTTCTAGCTGAGGGCAAAAGAAAAAACCAAAACAAACTTCAAATAAAACAGAGGATCTGAGTCAGAGTCGCTCTCTAAAGTGCAAATTTGATGGTCCACAATCTTGAATAGCTAAAACGCCTGCATACTGGAAGGAACAGACATGAAGGGAGAAGTTAATTATAATCTGAGCCAATTAATTTGGAGAAGGGAAGGGAAAGACAAAAAACTGGAAGAATAATATAGATAAGTTTCCCAGACTATTCATTATGATTCAACTTTCCCCTTCTCTCTGCCTCACTGATACTATACATGCTTCTTTACAAACGGGCTTGTTAAGAGGCCAAAATGTAACCCAGAAAATTTTACATATCAATATTAAGATCAAAATCTGTGATAGGAACAGTCAAGTTTAGTACATAGAAAGGCAGAAAAGAAAGTGTGCTGAGAAATGGGGGAAAAAAGCCTTAATTGTCCAAGGGGTTTCAACCAGAGATAAAACCTATATACAAGCATGTGGAGGTCAAAAAGACGGCCTTTCATTTCATGTCATGACTGTTTGTTGGCTTCTTCTTCATAAGCATTTCCTGTGCCATTTTGTACATAAGATGACCCAGAACCAAGGCCATATAAATGGCCACAGTATTTGGCATCGTCAATGTGATCTTCAAAGAACATCTAAAAAGTTAAAAGAGAGACACGAATTATTGCAGAAGAAAACATTCAGTTTCAATAGAACTGTAGAAAGGCTTTAAAATTACTTTCTTTTTAAACAAGGYATTAAATCCCAAGGTGCAAAAAATGATATAATTAGTATAATAGCACACTTAATCTCAACACATTATCACAATGTGTCATACAACATGATTATTTAAATCTGTCAAGAAATACAATCAGTCTTCCTGCACACCTCTCCCAATTAAATGGCCCAATGCAATGTTTTCACAATTTTGTATTATTAGTCATCACTCACATATCTGCAAGTGCATCAAAGATATTTCTCCATCTAAATTATGTAGTGCTTCTTACAACAGGCATATGCTTAGTATCCATCATCAGTGCCTGTCTCCTTACCTCTCCTCAGYGTGGAGTTTTCAACATACTCAGTCTTGAAATAGGGATATGTCCTGATTTATATTATGTAGGTTTGGGGGTGGGGAGAATGAGCACAAAACCCATTAAGCAGTTTAGAGAAATGCAGAAAGATGTATTTTCGGCTCCTCACAGAAGGGGACTTCATTTAATGAGGAACAGCAACATTCTGTACTAAGATTGCATTTACACACTACAAGTCTAAATTGCAAAATGAACCCTTCAGTGGAAGATAAAATAAACTTTACGATATTCTGATATTCTGCCTTTCAGACTTTGGTTTTCAAGCACAAAATTATCTTGCAAAAATAAGACATACAAACACACACACAAAAACATTTTTCACCCTAAAACCTTTATGGCAATCCTGGACACCCCAGTACTTCACATCACCAATATCAGAAATCTGAGACAGGCAGAAGCATTCAGGAACAGAYTGATGTTCTGATCTAAACATGGAGGCCTGTATATACCACACAGCTTAGCGCTTCTCCCTTCAAGCTTTGATTTAGCAGCACACTCAGGATGAAAGGTTTTGTACTGCAGAAATCAGAGACTTCAATTAAAAGTTCTACAGACCCCCAGCATTTCTTAATGAAATAAATCAGGTAGTAAAAGCCCAAAATAACAACTCTACTGTTGTAGTATCATTATTTAAGTATTCCTGATGGAAAGAAAAGATCAGTAACTTTTTTAGCTGGTACTCCAAGACCCAGCAAGCAAGTTGCATCTCCTTCACAGCAATTAATACCAAAATTTTGTACTTCTACAAGCACTTTAAAGCAAAGTTTTTTTACTCAGAAAGACATTTTTAAAAACTGAACTCTCCTGAAAAGGCTTAAAAAATCTACCGTGTTCTTATTTAGAAAATGCTGTATTTACAAAGAATATTTATAAGTACTGAGGAAAAAAATCATTATTAGTCCATGTCTGTTGGCCTAATTAAGCAAGTGTGTTGCACTAAAAAACCCTCTGAGATTTCCACTTCTGGTAAAGGCTTTTAGTAAAAAAAATCAACTAKCTAGTTTGTCACTTAACACAAACTGCATTTTATTAAAGAAAGTATCATGGGTTAGAACCTTTCCTCTAGAAAACTAACTTGAAAGGCAGTATCTTAAGCATGGTTATCACATGCTTCCCTTTCTTTGCTTTGGATTTTGCTTCAAATTCAGGAGTGAAAGTTTAATAATATCAGGCAGACAGCAGGTAGACACACTGGGCTTGAATCATACCAGAAATGTAATCCTCTTTATTGCAACGGTAGCCCATGACCTGCTTGACAACTTCAACAGCTCCAGCAGAGGCAGAACAGAGTGTTAGAATGAGCAAACCAGCTTAAACCACATTCTTTATTATTCACCTGCTATGTAATGAATATTTGTCACAATCTCACAGTCATTTTCCCYTTCATACAAAAGGCTAGATTCCAGAAAGTAGACTTCAGGATATACTACTTAACATCATTAAAAGATGAGGTTGGATACTGCCATCTATTTTGACATGGTAAATGACACTGAACTGCTGGAAGAATGCCATGTTCTGATGCACTGGCATTTGTCCAGTGTAACTGCTTTCCAGAAGAGGCCTGTTTAATATTCAATTGTTCTGCTAATGCAAAATACCCTAATATTTTCCTGTTGTATGCAGACAAGCAGCAAGGAAATACGACATTTGTAAGACCTGATTGTCCTTGCTGTAAAYCTTGAATTAACTGACCATAATATATATAATCTTTATAATCTATATAATCTTTTAGAACCTTAGTTAAACTGTGCCTCACTCAATGGTAAGGAAGAAGAAATGTATGGAAATTGTCCACAGCAGCCTGAAAGTCATTATTTAATATACCTATAGCCTGAAAGTTTAGCTAGAAGTGATTAGTCAACACTCCTTCCTCACCCCTCAGCCTATCATAAGCAGCAGGACACACCAGCTGGATATTACACTGAGCAAAAGGTCTAAAAAATCCCAAAACACTGGCTTGAGTGCAGTCACCCAGAAAGGAGTCTGGCTTCAGCAGCTCATAACTCATTGCTGCAGCCACCTAAAAAAGGCACGCTGCCAAACAAGTGAGGAAAAAAACAACCCAAAACAAAATGTCACAAAAAATCCAGAAGTCAGGCCTGGGCTGAATTGGGAATTGGGAAGAAATATGTACAGCAGCAAAGCAGGAATTAGTAGGGCTGGTTCACACTTACTTTGGGGAAAATACAGGTGGTCTCATTTTTGTCAAAAAAGCATTGACCCATGAAGCCCTTCAGAGATCTCCTTAAAATACCACAGACTTATCAGAATAAGCAATTCCATGTGACTATCACAGCACATTACTATCATGGAAATAAAACCAGTAGGTCCACCTACTTCTCTCATTTTGAAAAAGGCCATTCCTGTGAGTAAAGAATCGGATCCTGCCTGATGCTGTGGTCCTATCCTTTCAAGCTCCAACTGCTCAGCCACTTCTTGTAATCCACCCTGAAAAAGGAAACATTTTTGTCAACTGCTGAAAAAAGTTAAATTAGAAAACTGAACAGCTGTATTCAGGAAAATCTGTTACACAGGTCTTAGAACCTCAGGTATGTTTTAACATTTGCACAGTAGTTGAAACAGTCATTATACTAGATAAATGCATACCAGGAGAAACAAACTTTCAGTATCGAACAGTATTAATATTCTCTGTCAGTACTGACTAAATAAAACAGTATCTGCAACCAACAAAACCAGTACTCCTCATGTTCTGGCTTCCCCAGTAAACAGAAGCTATTACTTAACAATTCCTTCGAGATGCTGAAAGGAGAACTAGGAATTCTTAAGAACAAAACCAAGTGTTCCTGTACTTCTATTTGAATAACAGTATAGAAAACATTTTTATCTTTTAAAAACACAAGAATTTAAATGCTTAGAAACAAGATGCCCATATGCCTCCATGTGTAAAGTGTCTAGGCTTCCTCTGAAACAGATCTTTTTCTCTCAACTAGCCTGTCAACAATTAAGGTAAGGGTTTTTCCACATCCTTTCACAAAAAACAAGAGTACCCTTATACCTAGAAGGTAACAGGAAATTTAGAAATCAGATGGCAAAGTTAAGAGAGGAAGGTAGTGCTCACTCTATTTGTACAAGGCATTCTACCCCTCTTTAAAGTTTGTTTCATTAGTTCTGTAGSGGAATAGAGAAAAAAATGTGCAAAAAAACCCAAAAAAACCCATCATCTTGCAAGTCTTCTAATATACTAAAATCCAATGGTGTAGCCAGCTTTGCCATTGAAGATGTATATTTAATAGTCCCATGTGTAACAAATCAGCTTCTTGAATTATATAAATGTCTGACATACAAAAAGGGAACAATTTAAAACATTAATTGTCCCTTYTGACTGTTGATACAATGCTTTAAAAGTACAGGCTACAAGGCTGCAGAGAACACACCAAAGCTGCAAATCTATCTTCTCTAAAAGGAAAAAATTCTCCAGTTTTGAAGGAAATTTAATTTTCAATAAGCTTATGTGGAAAACTATCCCCTTAATTGCAGAGTGACTAAATAAACCTCATTTTAGTGTCCTCTACAAAATAGTAATAGATTCTACATGTGAGAGCAAAGCTATCAGATTTGGGTTTGGCTTTACATAGATAACACTGATCAGCTGAAGGACAGACATGTAATACTGCAACTGCAATCTTTTAATGCTATGAGCACATGATTGTACATCTCTTTTCTGAAGTCATTAAGCTATAAAGCAAATGGCAAGACTAAAGCACATGCACATTCTTAAAGATCTAGAAAGATCTAAAAAAACCCAAAAAACTACAGAATCCTTAGTGCTGCCATAAGCTTTGCAAGGCAAACATGTCGCACAGAGGCAATGCTTTTAAATAAAGAATGCCTAAAGTTCTCCTTCCCTTGCGCTATTAACYTGTTTCAATCACAGGAAGGGAAGCAATAAGAGGCAAAAGCAAATCAGTCAAAATTAAAACCCGTGGAGGTATAAAGGAGTCACAACTGAAAATCAGATCAAACATTATGAAAATTCCTGTGAATCTTATGGCAACAGATTTGGTTTCAGGTTTTTGTTTAAAAAGATGGACGTTTCAGTAACATTCCCAAATAACACCCACAAACTGACATGAAACCTAGTACTACTATAGCTAGTTTTCATCTGTCTTGAGCAGCAGAAAAACAGTTTACAGGAGTTTAAGGTAAGCCTACATGTTGCATAGTTAAGCACTGAAACTAGCTGTTTTATGTGCTTGGCTAGAGCGTTTGAACACATGCTCCAATCTCTGACACTCTCAAAATCTGAGGGTTGGTGGGCAGTGAGTAACAGTGCATCTCAGACAAGCATATTCCTTGCTTTCTAACTCAAAAAATGAACTGCTAATTCACAACTTGGACACACACCCTTTCGAAGATAGCAGTTTCTGTTTCTAACCCTCTACTTCCTCAAGGTGCAAGTTAACAGTGCCTTGCTATGAAGCTCTTCTAGCTGTAAGATTATCTACTCTAGCTCCAAATCACTTTGAAGAAACTAACACCTCAGAATAAAAATCAGTAATATTTACAAAGCAGCCACAAGCTTTGGAATGTAGACTCAGTAATACAAAAATTACAGTAGTAGCAGCCTACTGAAGAACACTTTGAAATAGTACTTTTAATGGTGTTTGTATATATATTTGTGATATATATCACACCATTTTTGTGTGGAGCTTCTTGGTCTGTAAGTGCAATAATTACAGAATAAAATTTGGCTGTCTCTGAAAATGTCAGGTTTGGGAACGGTATTCCCCAGTTTAGTGTTCCCACTGAAACCACTCCAAACTACACTACTAAATGTAGAACCAATTGTTAGAAGGTCCCACCACTCACTGCTTTCAATGTTTTTAACAGTTCATTGCACCATTCAATTCTCCCAGAGGCTGGGGCATGATAGGGAATATGATAAACCCCCTCCATACTGTGCTCTCTGACCCAGGCGTTTATCAGGTTATTTTTTAATTCAGTGTGATCCACTTATTCCACGTGGAATCAGTGTCAYGATATGTGGAAGGGACTTTCCCTTTGAACATCCAGCTCAGCACTGGTAGTTGGGGTGCCAAAAGGAGCTGTGCTTTGGTCACAGTTACTTCTGAGGCAGCCTGAACCCCTCCATAAGATGCCAGGATCTCTTTTTCAATTGGAGTACAGCTSGCCTCAGGCCCTTTGTATCCCCAACTCCAGAACCCAGAGGGCAGCCTCAAGTCTYTCCAGGTACCCCCTGCTCCCCAAGTGCAGGAAGGACCATTCTCCCTGGCTGCAGTGTAGAACATAGTTCACACCTTGTCTGGTGTGAAACACCAGACTAGCCCAAGGGCTACTGGATGAACAATCTCCAGTTAAATTTGTTCAAAAGCTTGTTGTTGTTCAGGACCCTACTTTAAGTTATTCTTCTCCTGGATTACTTGACATAGAGCATTTATAATCCGACTGTAATCAGGGATATGCATCCTCCAAAAACCCACAGCACCTAGGAAAGCCTGTGTTTCTTGTTTGCTGGTTGATGAGGACCTAGCTGCTATGTTGTTGATTACATCCATTGGAATACAACAACATCCATCTTGCCATTTTCCTTCTAAAAACTGAATTTCCTGCACAGATCCCTTGACCTGACTTTGCTTTATGGAAAACTGGCCTTCAGGACAATCAGGATTATCTTCTACACTTTTTCAAAAACCTCCTCTGCCATGTTCCCCCATACAAAGRTGTCATTGATGTACTCCAAGTGTTCTGGAGCCTCGCCCTTTTCCAGTCTGGATCAGCCCATGGCAGATGATGGGGCTCTGTCTCTACCTCTGGGGCAGTCTGTCCCACGTGTACTGGACACCTCTCCAAGTAAAAGCAAACTGTGGTCTGCACTCTGCTGCCAAAGGAATGGAACAAAATGCATCAGCAATGTCAATGGTGGTACCATTGCTGCCTTGGACTCCAGTTCATACTGAAGTTCCAGCATGTCCAGCACAGTGGCCCTTAGTGTGACTTCATTCAATCTAGGATAGTCCTCTAGGACTATCAATAGGCCATATAGGACTATTAAAGGGTGAACAAGTCTTGCTGACCACTCCCTAGCTCGCCAATTCATGCGGAATCATCTCATGGATGGAGGTTGTGGAGTCCCGGTTGAGGTAGTATTGTTAACAGTGCACTGTAGTGCTAGTGATCAGAAGGGTCCTCTGAGAAACCAGACAAGGTATTCCAGGAAGTCTAATTTCCTCTGTCTCCACACCAGCTATCCTAAAAGCCCATCAGTGCTCTTTTGGGTCTTGAGGTAATCTATGCCAAGGATGCAGAGCCTGTGGGCCAGTCACAATGGGGTGTTTTTGTCATCAACATTATTCCCAGTCAAATTCACTTCAGCTACCAGTACAGTCAGCAGTTTGGATGTGCCTTTTACCCCAGAAACATAAAATTGATTCTGCCCTTACTATCTTCATGGCACCAGAGTACATAGGGTGCTGACATCAACTAAAACCTTATAGTCTTCTGSGTCTGATGTACCAGGCTATCAGATCCACACAGTCCACTAGATCCAATCATCCCTTTCCTCCACCTGGCTGGTTGTGGTCACAGTACTTGTACTGTATTAACAGTACTTGTTAATATGAACTGAAAGTCTCTTTGAGAGGATCMGAAGTAACATCAGCCCTCCTGTCTAAGGACTTGCGCAATGGAAACTGGAGCAGCATTTATCCTTGACAAATGTCCTGTGGTGGCTGCTCTTCCTCTCAACTCACATACCCATGCTGCTAAGGCAGAGGTGGGTGTTTCACCCCACTTCCTCATGCCCTCTCTGTGGTCATGCAGGTAAAATCACAGGCTGCCTTGTAGTGCGTACCCTTCTCTCTCCAGCAGGAGAGCACTTGCTCCCAATTAGCAGACTCAGGTCCATACTAGCAAGGCACAAGACATTTCTTCTCTAGTTTGCACAAGTCTTTTGAATCTGTGGGCAGTGTTGGACAGTCTTCCCASAGGCAAGGAGCAGGTTGGAAAGGAGGATGAGATGATCTTCATACTGCTAGTCAGATAGTCAGTCACCTGAARCATTATTTGTTCTCCTTCTTTTATTGACACCAATGCCAGAGTTAGCGTATGACAATGGTGTGCTCTGTASAAACTTCTACCACATGGATTGTGTACAGTGAACCTCATCACCCTGGATCCACAGGGRACTTCTTGTTATTTGAATCCTTACACATCACCTCCAGCACAACTAATTCTCTCAAATACTGGACATCTTTCTCCATGGCATTCCACCTGCTTGGGCACACCACTAAATCATCCTTGAGAGAATATCTTCTCTCACACTTGACAGGAGTCTCCTCCAGAGGCTGAGTTTCTGTCCTCTTCCCATTGCCCCACCAGGATAGGGATAACCCTTGCTTGGTTTCACTGCCATGTAGTTTCATATCATGGCCACAATATTCCAGGGTCAGAGCAGCCAGGTCATGAGGGGCTTTCATGACTGGCAGGTGAAATCTTTTCACTTACGTCACAGCTCACCCAGGGATAAGAATTGGGCCCTGCCTCTTCCTCCTGATGTGAGAACTCTACTTCCTCTTTAACCCTGACTATGTGAACTGATTTGCYCCTGGATTATTTCTTCTGTGTAGGTGTGACTGCTGCCAGCAAGAATTCTGGTTCAACTGTGGTTTGAGTGACCACAGTGCCTGTTGTTTTGCTTTCCTCCTCCTCTTCCCATAAGGGTTCTGTCTTGCATTCAACTGTGTCCAGTAAAGAGTAGCCAGGGTGCAGCACACTTGAGTAAATTGATTCGTTACAGAGTTGCCACATCATTCTTCTTGCAAATATTGTGTCAWTTTATCAGGGGCCTGTCGTGACACTCTAAAAACAGTGGAGAATTTTCCTCAAAAATGGGCCATTTTATCTCACATTCCATGCTTCTCATGACTATCCCCACCCTCAGGACAGATCTCTGAYTGACCTTCCTAAAAACCTCTGTCCTGATTGGAGTTGACTGCCTTGRCTCTAAACATGGTGTAGTCCACACTAAGAAGACAGCAGACAGAGCAACACATTTTCTTCAACATCTACAGGAAATAAAAAATTCTCAAAAGCTTTTCTAACAGGCCCAAGGTGAAAAAAAAAAAAAAAGGTGGTGAAAAGCTGGGGAAAGCTATCCTCCCCTGTTCTCCCCACAGACTAGGTATGATCAGTAATGGACTACCAGAGGTAGCACCCAAGGTAAGGGTAAGAGAGCAGCSCTGAATACACATCCCAAATGATCCTCATTGCCATTGATGTTATCACATCATAAACTAATATCCTACAATACACTGACAATGCAATCTTGATTGCTCTTTCTGATCTGAAAAAGAGCACCCTGATGGGCACATAGTGCATATATAGAAAAGTATACAGAGTTAGGTACYGCACTCACATCAACAGGTAACACAAGCTCTGGATCTAATAGGACAAATGCTTAGATGAAATTTATTACCAACCCTCTCYGGTCAGATCTCAACCCTTCAAGCCCCATACTGGGTGCCAAGTAAGGCTGTCATAGTTTAGGAATGGTATTCCTCATTTTAGTCATCACRCTGAAACCACTCCAAACTAGACTGCTGCTCGCTCGCTAACCCCTCTCCCTGCCCCTCTGCTGTGGCAGGCTGGAGGGGAGAACTGGAGGCACAAAAAGTGAAGATCACAGATTGAGATATGAACCATTTACTGGAAAAAACATCAATGAGATAGGACAACAAGCAGAAACAAAACAATAATGATGGAGTATACAAGGATACTGCTCACCCAGCAGAAACACCCAAAAATATCTGATTGCTCCCTCCACCACACTTCCCTGACCCAGAAGCAAGCCCTTTTCCCATGYCCAGAAAATGATGTGAGGTGGCACTGAATAATCATTATCCCTGGCCATGCCCCTCTCCTGCCTACTGAAAAAATGAACCCTGTCTTGGTCAGAACCAGAACGGAAAATTAATAGGCTACTGAGATTCTCTTTCAGGTACAGCTTTTGCAATCAMGCTATGCTTCACTCTTGGAGAAGAAATTCTTCTCTAATTTTYAGACCAACTATGTTCTAAGAAAAAGATCACAGAGTAATTTACATAATCACACAACCATGGTCAACAGCAAATCTACTTTGAGCTCTCATTTCATGGCATAGTACCAGGGCTCATTGTTCTGTACAAACCTCCAAATTAAAAGCAAGATTCCAACAAGGTCTACCAATCCACATTACTTAGGGTTGCCACTATATGAAAAGGTCTGGAATTGTCTACATCAAAAGATTTTTAAACAATAAGCAAGAGTGTAATTTATACTACATTAATATCTCAAGTTAGCKCTCAATCTGCATGCCAGTAAAGTCATAATAACATACTGTAAATTCAGAGTACTTAATTCTGAAAAAAAGGCATCAAACAGATTTCCAGTCSTGATGCCTATTTCTCTTTCCAAAGCCAAGAATCTTTTTTGGGTATGTGGGGGCAGAGAGTGGGACACCTACAGTAGATGAATGACTTTCAAACAAAAAATAACTTAGACAAGTCAATAAAAGACAACTGCACAACTGTTCAATTCACTGCAATTTAATAAAGATTGGAAGTGACACACATTAGGAGACAGCACATGCATTTTTAGAGTCGCACACTGAATGTTTAGTAACTTGTTTCAGGCAGCTTCTCTCAGTACAGTTCAAGTCCACCATCATTTCATCACTGGTAAATTTGGAGGGGTAAGATAGTCCATTTCCCTTCCCCTGATGTCACTATCAGTCTGCAGGTTAGGTGACTGGATCAAAATTTACTGCAGGAAAGCAGACCTACAAATTAAGCTCTGGAAAAAAAAAATCACCCTTGTTCTTATGGTTTGCCAAAATAAGAACTGTGAAGGTTTTTCTTGTCTTCCAAAAAAAAAAAATCTTAGTGTGTCTAAACAATGCAGGTTACACAGAATTATGCCWTAAGTATGTCAGAAACTACAATACCCTCCTTCCCAAGATCCCTGGGAATGTCACTTCTGAATGGAACATCAATTTKTCACCTTTTCTATGTCACCAAATTTGGAATATACATTCTGTTCTTGCAAAATGTGTCACCAGATGCTCTACTTTGCTTCACTGGGAGTGAGATAGTGAGGACTTTTTTGGGRGTGTTCCCCCATCCCTAATTTAAGACTCCTGAAGTTTAGGAACATTAAAATTTTCTCCTGGCCTATGTGGAGAAGAAGTGTTTCCAAGATGTTCTCTAATACATAGACATTTGCCCAGATGATTATACCAATAACTGTATATGAGCATAGATAAGTACATTATTCTTACTAACTTAGAAGGGTGGTCTACATTTTCAACATTAATTTGATTAACAAAGGAKTCACACCATTTACTTCCCACAAAAGTAGGCTACTACTCAGCTAGCTCATCCCAGAAAGAAAGAGGAATATAAACAGCACACAGATCACTAGCTCAGCAGTGATGAAGTGGCAAGCCATTCCTTAGTTAGGATTTGGTTTTACTAAGGTGGGTGTTCTCCCTGCAGCTTTTCATTAAGAAAGCCTAGAGAGTTAAATTACTTTCCATAAAAGTAACAAATCATCAGTTGCCTCAGATGAATGATACACCTCATACCAGTAGTCCAGACGCTTAACAGCTCTTTGGCAAGCAAAGTTTTTAACAGTGCTTTAAGTATCTTTCTTTCACTTGCTCTCTTCCCCCTCATACACTTAGTTCCAGCTCCCATTCATTCTCCAGTCCAAYAAAGGATCTAAATTTTATGCCTGATAGAGTAAGCCAATCAGTAGCTGTACTGGCCTGACATGAGAGACTAGTTTCTAGTTCTTTTRTCTTCCTAGAAGTCACATGTTATCCCTGAACATACGTTGTTGTTTATCTTTGCTTATGGGGCCAACTGAAACATACTTCACTCAATTTCTCTTCCCAAGACACTTTCACATCATCTTCTTGCAATTATCCTTGCMTGGATGACTGCAGTCCTTTAGTGGATTGCACAATAAAGAAATAAGAGTATATGAAATCCATCAATCCTTAGGGCTAAGGAAATGAAGAATTAATTCCAAACAAGGGTTTATCATCTATCAACAAAGCATTGCAGATACAGTTCCAACGTATTTTTAACTGGTAAGGAGTCATAAAAATTGACTTGTGCTCCTGCCTGCTTCTAACTATGCCTTTAATATTAAACATATAAAACTTGAGACAACAATGCTTAATAYGCACTATCAAAGCAAAACCAGACAATAAAAACAGAAGAAGTATTTTTAAGCATGGTAGTCTCTGTCTCCAAAGGCAAAATTTGTTCCAAACCATTAACAGATTACTTACCTTCAGATTTTTGCAACTCTTCATGAGATATTTTACATCATAGATGACAGGAAAAAACAATCGCAGTATCTCAAAGAAGTCCAGCTCTTCCTCAGGTAAATTGGAGTTTGTCAGGATTTTGATTAGATAGCCAAAGTCATATCCGCTGCAAATTAATGACAAAAATAATGTAAGCAAGTAACTTAGACGCATCCTTCTCACTTCCAACATCAAGACTTCACTGCAATTGACAGAAMAATCAGCTTAAATTCAATGCAATTAAGACCACCTTTTATGAAAAAACATTAAACTTCAATGTAAATAGCTCCATTGCAGATTTGAGAGAAAACATTTTAATTTAGTCTGAATGAGGCCACGTGAAGACACAAAAAATCTGCCTACAGGAATTTCTAGAAATCCTGAAATAAGGTAGTGCTGCTGGGTCTTCATCTGATAACCAGAACTTCCAYCAGAAAAACTCCTAAGCTGGTTTCTTTCACATAGATTGGAGTTTCTCACTACTAACTGAGACAGACAGAGACTTCCACAGTTCTTGAAATCTGAAAGATTAATGAGTTTCCAGAACCRATGCATGTTTATGCCTGGAGGAAAATTTAACCCTAAGCAACAAAGAAGAGGGATTGTCTTTCAGCTTTTCCAATTAAATCAGCACAGAGACAACTAAAAACTTTTATAGCTCATAGACTATTACTCTTTCTGGAGGCAATGACCGAGCAGGCTRTAAAAATTTTTGTGTGTACATGTAAGTCTGCAGGAGGCAGCAATATAAACAAGCAGTATTCATTAGTTAGAAGAAACTGAGGTGTTATAGAGTGTACATAGTAGAGAAAAGTCTGGGAACGTTTTTTCCTCAATAGTTTGAAGAAAGAGGACATAAGAATGAGGCATGACAGTAACATGGAAACCATGTACTTTTACAAAGGGTAATGAAGAGGAACAAGAGGGTTAAGTAGAAGAAAGACAGATGGCAGGTATTAAAGCAGGACTAAACACCACAACAAAAAAGCAGTGATGACTAAGTTATGCTCCTCTCTGGGAAGGCAGTGATTACAAACCAGATTATTYGTGATGTGACCATGAATGTCATTTGTTCTGATTCCTTGTACTTGCAGGACTGCTCATGCACATATGCACTAAACTGAACAGAGGACTGATACTTTCTGTTCCATGTTATTAAGTTTGCATTGAACTAAATCACTTCCCAGATTTTACTGACATACAATTTTAAAAATGCCTGTAATAAATAACAAAGAAGATGAAAACACACAGCAGGGCTGCCTCTACTGAAAGCTCCATCAGTTTTGCTATTTAAGGAACCTTAGCGTAGAGTCGAGAGATTATTTAAGTGAGCAGGTGGCCACCACAGAGTCCAAATTTCCAATTTAAAACTTTCTGTTCATTCTTGATTATGCAAGGATCATGCTCAAAACCAAGAACTTCGCAATTTTGGAAATACTAACTGGGAACTTCAACTGTGAGACGAGCATTAGTAAAGACAAATCAGTTAAGAGCACTATACCACTGATCCTGCAGATAATTAGGATCCAAGAGATTGGTGACTTCTGATGTAGACTCAAGGCTTCAGTTTGCACCCTTAATGTAAATAAGTTTACTTTTTGAACCTTTTGTATACAATAAGGTTATTTACATCATCTTTATACTATGAATTTCTAGACAGAGAATAGAAAAACCTTGAACATACTGGGAGTGAATGGACTGTTTGCTACAGGTCCATTAATACAAGATACACAGTAGTTAAAGACTACTGCAGATCACCCATGGGGGTTTCCAATGCTCTAAGCAGATATTTCATGTTGAACAAATCCTAGACTGCATCTGGTGCTTTGAAGCTGTGCTGGCCACCCTCCAATYCCCACAGCAGCAGCCACTAGCCAGGGAGCAAAGGAGCCAAAGAYAAAGGAGGATTGCAGTTGACTCTTACAAAGTAAAAACTGTATTAAACTTGGCAAAACAGTAGCTTGGAAGCCTAATTTTATTAGATCATCTGAAGGGGGAGGGAAGGGGTGGAAAAGCCTTTATCAGCATAAAGCCCTCTACAGAAAAGAAAAGAAAAAAAGCCACATTAGCAAAAAAAGACTGTTCAAAAACATGCAATTAGACTGATCAGGATTAAGGAGACTTAGTCCTCTAGAGCTCACAGTTTATTAACTCACTGAATTCCATCCATCATCCTCAAGGCTCAAAAGTAACAGCCATATTAAAACTTTGAAAGTGAAAAAACAGCATTTGTGCCACTCCTCTTCATAAAAAAAGCTATTTTGACTTGTCTTACAAAAAAATATGTATATGAATAAAGTACTACAAAACAGATGCTCTCAAATATTTCTATTTTTTTTAAAGAAAGAACTGCAACAAAGTAAAAGTCAACATTCCTTTACTATTCATATTGAGAGGGAGCAGGTGATTACAAAGAGCAATTTTGACTGAGAAGTACATTTTTTCACTTGGAGACGGTAGCAGATCCAAGCTTATAGACATAAAAACTCACTCCAAGACAGATCCAGTAAAACAAATTTTGAGTCGCCACTGCTGAATGCTAAGAGAAAGGTAAGAAAGTCTATGGCGAGCAATTATGTAATTACCTGCTCATTAAAGAAGTTTTCTTCTAATCCTCTAAACAGTGATTAATGGTTGGTTATACCCTGAAGCACACAGATTTCCTTGTCTTAAAAAACTTGCACCATTTCTAATATAATCATCTGAAACTGCTTAGCACAGTGCGCCATAGTCTGTGGAGGTATACAACATGAGCACTCTTACAGACATTTATTTTGTTTTTTCACTGAACACGGGCAGCTGTAGGCAACAAGAGTAAAGATCAAACATAGAAGCCTCTATTTCCCTTACTATCAAGAAAGAATTCAGAYAGGAAATTAACAACAGATTCTACTCAAGCAACAAGCCTCTGAAATAAATCAAAACTTGCAAGAGCTTTAGTTCATTTTAGTTCATTCAAGAGAAAGCTTTAGTTCATTTTATAGTGCTAACAGACATGCGCCAACAGATTAAATTTTACTAAAATCAGTTAGATGCAAATTATTATTGAAACACACTAGCTTTCCAGAAAACATCTGGGTTTTTGTTTTCAAAAATGCATGTTTTCACAGGCCCTCCAAAGGTAGACAAAGGAGGTTGCTCACAAGTGGACACTCAAAGCATCAGCAGAGCAGCCAGTTGAACATCCACAAAATCAGCATTTGAGCTGTTCCTTCCTAACTTGCCAGACTGCCAAGCACTCACAGCTCTTTTGACTGTGATAAAAATCACAAATTCAGGGCTTCTCCTTCCTCCTTCATTGACTCAAATATATTTTAACACACACACAAGATTTGATGAAGTTGTCTATGAAGTTGCAGTGCAAAAGAACTGGTGACAGTGTAAGCATTTCTTCACTCCTATCTGACAGAACTGCAGGTCCATACTGATTTGCCAACATGTGAGGATGCCAAGGCAGCTAAATCAAACCCAGAGGCAAAAACCCCACCAAAAAAAAAAAACCCACTATTTGAGAAGTGAAGCGCTTAGAAATAAACCACATAAAAGTTAAAAAAATCAGAGACTGGAAAATGAAAACCAAACCATAACTTCACACACTGAGAAAAGATTTAACTCCCTTCTACCCATTTACTATAGGACCCAAATTTTAACAGTTAATAGTAATTAAAGCATTTTAAGGAAATAGAGGCAATAGCAGAGTCAGCAACTACCAAGCAAAGCTTTTTCAGTAGTCAAAGAAATATTGCATGGAGAGCCTACATGGGACAAATTTTCAACTGAATGTCCYGCTGCTTAAGTTTGGACTGATAAAACATAAACACAGTCAAAGATGTATTTAGAGGTATAGGTTCTTCAATATTCTTTGTGGCACATTTTATATGACCCATGCTCATTTGTAGCTTTGTGCAATTTTGGTTTCCTCAGAACTTAACCACTTACTCCAGGACTTTGTGCTCAAGATAGTATCAACAAGGTCTGGAAAAGCACAAAAGCTTTAAAACATTCTGATAATCAATGTCTGACAAATATTTGCTGGAATAGCTGTCTTAAGAGGATTTTTAAAGACATTTTTAGTGAAATGCACAACAGAAACTTCACAACAGAAACTCATTTTAGCATAGATGAAACTGGACTTCTATTAATAAAGCCATTCCAAAAACCCTYCATAAGCTGCACCAGTTAAAAATGGCATTATTGCACATGGCTTGCACTACACTTTGACCAGCCAATCAGCCAGGAATTACACACACTAAATATAATTATGCTCTAAAAAGAATACCTACTATAGAAATTGCTCAGGTATACCTTACACCAGGCCCTTAGTCATCAGGCAATATTGRAAAAACACCAGTTTGAGGCTGAAGCTGCTCCTACATGGCACTCTCTGCTGAGGCACAAGTTACATGCCTCCCCTTCTCTTGAACCATCCAAATTATATTACTGTAGTTAAGTGTAAATCATGAATATACACATATGAGTCCATAATGTTGTGTTAAAGAAGATGCAAAAACCTTAATTTACTGATTTGGCTTCTGTAGTTATTTTGACACAGTTTATGGCACCCTTGTTACAGTATTCTTCCCCAAGGTGCTACTCTGGAAGCAAGATAGTAGGAATTATATTTATATATATATATTATATTATACTATATTTGTATATATGACAAAGTCATTGTGAATTTGAAATAGCTGTAACTGGAAGACTGAGTGACAACTGTACTCAAAGAATCCTTTTTTGTTTAACTATCTTTTCTTTTCAACCTCTCTCCTTTGGAAACTCAGCCTAACACTTCTTTCTACAAAGCAAATTAAAACGATGACTTCCACAACAATGTTACATGCACCCTTCTACTACTGTTATACACATTCCTTGCCAAAACAATTCTTATTTTTCAGTTTGTTTATTGAATAAATACTTCTCTAATTCCATGACTTTGTCTTCTCCAACTGTTAATACTTATGGATGAAGAAGTAGGGTTTTTTCCTAATTTCATTATTTACATACCACCCACTAATATAAAATGAGAGACAACATGTTTTAGCTGAGACTAGATTGCTTACAGCCTTACTCATTTGCTTTACCTTGTCGASTTCCTTAGAGGCCAGCATTTAAGACATCATTTTGAGGGCATCACATAGCAATAAGCCTTTAACACCACTTTTGCTTGCAAAAATTCTGGCATGTAGCTGACTAAACAACTACTGTGTATGTTTTAAAGTGTTAAATCTTATTAACATTCAAAAAYCTTTTGTACCATGACAGATTTATAGAGATTTAGCATTCATATTTCTATTTCTACTTTAGAAATAGTAGAAATAGTATTTCAAGTAGATCAAATAAACAGTCAAATATATGAGTTACTGCAGCTAGAATTGAGGTTTATCAAGGATCTCCTTCCGAGCTGAGTAATTTTTGTGTGCTCAGATTAGCAGGAGATTTGCAACAAACTTAAAAGTGCTTTATCAGATTTTTCACTGATAATTCTGTGGTGGTCTCTCCCATGAAACAAACAGTATTTCCTCAAGGCTTGCTTAGGAAAAGTTTGCTTCTTGCATTGTTTCTTTTATTACTTGAACTTGTAAGGCGCCACCTGCTGGCTTAGCAGTTTCATGTTTTTCAGCTTTTGTTTCCTGGTTACTCTGTATACACCAAAACCAGAAACATAGTATAAACCGCTGCTGCCTCTATTGTTCCAATACAGAATGGTATTAGAGGTATTGGAGCAGAAGTATTTGCTAAGCCTTACCTATGGGCTACATAGGCAGGACTTAAACACAGGAGATGTGAAATCCAAGCTCCAGAACTCAATCACGGACCAATGCTGAAACCTCATATACTAAGCATGCAGAATTTACCTATGAAAAGAAAGCCACTTGACTCCTTCACACAATACAACTCCTGATGTCATGAGCAGTTCTGCAAAGTACTGTGTCTCAATTCCTTCTTCTTCATGCTTTTTGAACTGGATACCAGATGTCGTCAATAGTTCAATAGAGTCCTGAGCGTACATATCTTCTCTAAAACAGAGAGGAAAAGTAAATTTTCAAAATCTACAAGCCTCAGTGAAGTAACATTTCTTTTTTGCTATTCATTCCACAGACTTCACCAGCACAGAGCAGGAACAACTYGACTTTGCTCCAGGTTAATTACAAAACCAATAATTTTTCAACACTTTTTTTTTTCTAGCTTCACTAGCATTTCACCATTCACAGCACCTCCATTCTTTCCATTTTTATAAAAAGATTAGTTCCTGCTCTTCTTCCAGTTACCTAGAAACCCCACTTTTGCAAACCTACAGATGAAAGTGGATCTATGGAACTCATTTGATAAAATATCCATATCAAGTACTTGAACTGTGACTAATTAAATAAAACAGCTGAAGCTAATAGTTCCCACAAGTCCCTTGTGATTTAATCTTACATAAATGTTTAGACCTGTGTTCATCAAAACTTCTCAATAAAATTGAAAATTGAGAACTTACCCCATTACTTCTAGTCACTCCTTAGAAATCAAGCAGCCTAATATTTTCTTTCTAAACAATTAATTTCAATTTTAACAGCCTATTTTGGACCTAAAATTTAGTAGGATTAAATAAAAATTCCTCTATGATTTGTTTGACCCATCCTACCTCTGTTCATTCCCTTTCATAATAACTTCTTTTTTTGCTGATATYTTAAGGGTTTCATGATGAAACTCATGTTTTGGGGTTTATTTTCTCCCTAAGGTTTAATCTGTATCATAGTTACAAAAACATAGAATGGGTAAAYGAAGAAAAAAAAAATAATGCAAACGTAAGATGACATTCATTGTACTGTCCACAACATAGTACTCCACRAAGTCTCTTCAGAGTACAGTTTTAAATTTTAATAAAAAACAATCAAAACAAAACACRCAAACCCGCCCCATACAACCAATRTATYAAACTTGACTATTAGATTCAGTCATAGACCTATATTCCTTATTCCTAATAGCAAGTCAAAATTCATTAAAACATAAAGATACATTCTCAAAACGTGTTATATCTTTTTTCCTCCCTCCTCTACAGCTGCTCATTAATTCTCCAGCTTTGAGGCATCAGCTTCTCAACAGCTGTCTATCTCTGTTACATATTAAAGAACCTATCCAAAACAAACACACCATCCAACAAAAAGGGGATTTCATTCTAGTTRATGCTCTGCACTCATCAGGTGCATAGTATGATTAAAGAAATATTTATGCTCTTTAAAAGCACACTAAAACAAGACCTGGCTGGAACCACACACTCAAAAAAAATTACCTTCTAGGAACGACCAACAGCTGTTTTGCTTTAGGAGAAGAAGAGTTGGCACAGTGCCACTTCCCAAAGGATGTTTAGAAACAGACAAAAATAAGTTGTCCATCCATGTAAGATATATATATATACACATATATTCATTTTTCATGCAGTACTTACCAAGCTTTTGCTTTTCAATAAATCCCCTCATCAACTAGCAACAAAGTAGTTTGATGTTTACCTATATCTTGCCTTACTAAGATGTCTTATTTCTGCAGCACCTGGCACAAATGCATGGAAAACTACTTTTGGTTTCTGTTGTTTGATACTAAGTAGACCTCTAAAGCACAGAAAATAAATAAAGAGTAGAACAGGCTCTTCTTCAGAGACCACAGTTTGGAAATTATTAATTCACTCCTCTTTCTCCCTAACTAGTAGAATTAGAATATTCTTCTAGTTAAGAAAATAGGTAACTTCCATCGAACATTCAAAAGGCCAGGTAATTTCAGAGATACCAAAACATTAAATCTGCACTTTTCTTTCAAGAGACAATTGACACAAGACTAAAAAGAGCACATCATTGCTCAGACCAAACAGATTTGTGACAAACCACAGAACTGCTTGTTTAAAAGAGCAGAGAGATCAAGAGAGGCAGCAGCAGCTTTCCTCCTAAGAACCCCAAACATTTTGAAAACAAGTCTTTTCAYCTGCAGGGAAAAAAAAGGTCTGTTCTCCAAACCTTCTTTGTAGGCTGCAGCTTTARCTCCTGGATATAAAGTTGTCCAGTTATCAACTCGAAACACAGCTGCCAAAAACCCCAAGGCTTGAACACATTTACATGTGTGAAAAGTGTTTGTACAGATACTCAATTCAATAGATAATCAACATATGAAAATCTATCAAACCAATTACATTTACTTCAGGGAAAAAAAGAACCAAGATACTAGTAGCCTTGGTGATAACCAGCTAAAGATATAATTAGAGTACCAGACTTATGTATGATACCCCTGAAAATGCGAGAATTATACTTAGAAAGTTTTATCACTGATWAAAATCACATTGGAAATAAAGCTCACAGTATTATTCCAATAGTAAACATCAGCTTGCTTTTTAACCAACACATTAGACAAAATAATTCAAAACTTGCTGATAACATTTCAAATACTTTTTCAGTAACTTCAGTAACTTTACTTTTTTTTTGCTTCAAGTGTCGGTATTTTCCATTTAAATGTATATAAAGAAACAATATGTAATTTCTATAACAACTAGTACAAGTTAAAGTAAGTTAAGGAAGAAGCACTCTGAAATGCTAAACATGAAAACACAGAGCTAACTCTTACATTAAGTATAAATGCCTTTCACAAATTTTTTTGAAACTGCTTAGCATATTTGACCAAATTACYAACAGTAAGACAGACTGCAGAGAAATGAGGGAAGGAAGCACATGCTTGCCCAACTAAGTTTTCTTTATATGAGTATTTATAGTATTTCAGTATTCCAATCAGATAGATAAAATAGTTGCTATAGTATTTACACATTTTCAGTAGGTCAGAAACATACTGCATTTAGCAGGACAGAAATTGAACACTTACGTTAAGTTAAATTTAAAATTAAATTGCCAAGTTGAAGTTCCTGGAGGGTATTCTCCTTGCTCATTCATAAACGTCAGTCCTAGTTGAATTATTTTTAGCAAGTCGACATTGCAGCGTAAGAGTTGGTACTGATAGTCTGCATTGCTTCTGAATTCTCCAATAGGCCTTGCAACTACTCCTGGAAATTCTGTGTCCTGCAACAGCAGAATTAAAACTTGAAAACACTACAACCATACAGATTTACATTGCTCATTTGTAATAAAATGTATTATGTAGCCACTTTATAATTGAAGAGTACTGTGTATAAACTTAACTTTTAAAAAGGTAAAAGATTAGGATACAGATGTTCATACAGAGTTAATTCCTTGTACTTTCAATCTAAAAGGATAAGTAAGTTTACCCACTTCAACTGAAGTCACGATTTTTGCAGTAATTTGCTAGACAGACATTCAGCACCCACTTACCATAGCTACATAGTTATACTTTCGTATAACTTGACGAATTTTCTTCATCTCTTCATCCAAGTTACAAGCCCAAACTTCACAGATTCTTTGGCTATGGTCTACGGTAGCTGCTGGCATAGTGGGGGGCTTTAGAGACCATACATCTAAAGTTACACTTGACCAAGGATCGGTTTCATAAAGACGATTTCAGCTGTAAATTTTTTTAGCCTGAGAAAGAAAACAAAGCATGAAAGTTAAGTTTTTACTCTTCGTTTATCTGAAAAAAAAATGTTTAAGCACCATAACCACGCTTTACTCTTGTAAATTTTACAAAAGCAAGACAACATAGCCACCAAAAGCACACGAATTTCGGGTACGCGAGTTCAGATTACCATAAGAAACTAAAACCCTACAGTTTCGTTAGCAACTGTTTCTTGCACAAGGGCGGCAAACCAGCAAGGCGCACTACGGACACAGATATCGGAGACACGCGGGTCCCCACAGATGCTCCTGCCCCGCGGCTCGGAAGGGCGCGTTCCTGCGGATCCCTGGGCTGCGTGCAGCAGGGAACGAAGCGGCAAACCCGCGCCACGCCAAACCCGGGCACGGCGGGCGGCCTCCCGAGGCGGGAGCAGCTCCTCCAGCTCCCAAGGGCCGCGCTAAACCAGCGAGCGGCGCGCGGAGACCAACACACGGTCGGCCGGCCCCGGCTGGGTCCTCGCGCGCGTGAAAGGCCCGGGGTGGATCAAGAGGAGCTCCAAAGCCCGGGGGTCCCGTGGGGGTCCCGTGGGGGTCCCGTGGGGGTCCCGCAGGGCTCCGCGCCGGTGTCCCCGCCCGGTCCCCGCTCACCCCTCGCGCTCCGGCCGGGCCGCGGCGGGTCTGGGAGGCCCCGCGCGGCCCCCGCGAGCCGCAGGAAGCGCTGCTGCCCCCGGCGCCGCCGCCGCGCGCACAAAGCCATTACG